CTAGGGGCTCCTGGCCTTACTACTACGAGCTAAGGACGCTACTAGGGCCTTACTACTAGGAGCTAAGGATGCTACTACGGGCTCCTGGCCTTACTACTAGGAGCTAAGGACGCTACTAGGGGCTCCTGGCCTTACTACTAGGAGCCAAGGACGCTACTAGGGGCTCCTGGCCTTACTACTAGGAGCTAAGGACGCTACTAGGGGCTCTTGGCCTTACTACTAGGAGCTAAGGACGCTACTAGGGGCTCCTGGCCTTACTACTGGGGCTCCTGGCATCGCTACTAGGAGCAAGGACGCTACTGGGGGCTCCTGGCCTTACTACTAGGAGCTAAGGATGCTACTAGGGGCTCCTGGTATCGCTACTAGGAGCAAGGACGCTACTAGGGGCTCCTGGCCTTACTACTAGGAGCTAAGGATGCTACTAGGGGCTCCTGGCCTTACTACTAGGAGCAAGGACGCTACTAGGGGCTCCTGGCCGTACTACTAGGGGCAAGTAGCTACTAGGAACAATTCTCCATACACTAATAAAAAAAAGTTAGATGGTAGATGTCTTACCTTCGATGAAGGTCCATTTTTCAACCACCCGACTTGTGGATTGTGCCATCTACTCTGAAACCACTGCAGGTAAATCTGAACAACTCCCAAACATGATGCAACCCTCAATCACAGGAGGTTCAAGTGGTCGTTATTTCTTGGATTATTCATGTGACCGTGAAATATGCGTAAGTGAAACTTCAGTGGACAAGACATCGATTCACTGGTCAATGACGCTTCATTTGTTCAAGAACAAGGTATATCCCAAACGCTCCATGTATAAAAAATATGGCATGCATTAAACCATGGGGTGGAAAAACATTAAAAGAATAAGTCACCGGCTTAACAGTTTTAAGACCTGGCTTAAAATTCAAAACTCTACTCCTCCATCATCCTCCATCCATCTGTGGAGCCAGGACCTCCATCCTGGCTTCAAAGAAAACTCGCAAGAAACCCCTAGTAGCGTCCTTGCTCCTAGTAGTAAGGCCAGGAACCCCTAGTAGCGACTGAAAGGACTCTCTACTCCATCCCAGGATCCAAGCGCCGGTGCCTGTGGTGCCGGGGCTGGTGGAGCCGGCGCCGGCGCCTGCAGTGCCGGGGCTGGTGGAACCGACGCCGGCGCCACTGGTGGAACCGAAATCGAAATCGGTGCCACTGGCGGAACCGAAATCGAAATCGGTGCCACTGGCGGAACCGAAATCGGCGCCTTTGGTGGACCCGATTGGCCAATGGGAGAAGCTCGAGGATGGGACGGAGTGGGATCGGCCTACCCAGTCAGTGGACAACGAAGGAAGAAATATGAAGGAACTAAGGAACTGCTGTGACATAGTGAAGCAACTCATGCAGTTTAAAAGAATATATAGAAGGAACTGCTATGACCATCGGTATTGTTTACTGTATGCCATAGCAGTTTAGCTCATCACCAAACTGCTATGGCTGAAGCAACATCGATAGGAAGTACCACCAGGACGAGCGGTCACAGCGGCGAGACACCATGAACTCCCCTACCTGGTAGATCTGGTAGCCAGGGTCCACTCGTAAAGGGGGTAGTAGAAATGAGTCATGACTGGATTTTGAGGGCAAGAGACGAAAAAGTATTCTACCGTGAAAGCAGATGCTTTGTCATCAGGTGCGGTTGTGTGACAACCTGCTTTCTGGTGTTTTGTTGTGTACCCTTCACCAGATTATATTTTGCATGTTGTTGTTGGTATTTTACCGCTGTCCACGTCAATCTGCGGAGCATTTGATAGCCAATCTCTCCATCGAGTACCTGGTCCAATTCGACTTCACGCTCCATCTATCGCCTGTATCTCTTGTTCGACATTTGCTGGTTTGGCTCTAATTTGGCCGCTCCACTTCACGAAAAAGAGATGAGAAGAGTCGACCCGCGAATGGTTCGACCCGCGGGGAACCCGCGAGAGTCGCTGCTCGCGGAACCCGGGAACCGTCAATCACCATTTTGAATTTCGAACGCAATCACGAGCTGGACAAGTTGCTGGACCAAGAGCCGTCCTGGGCTGAGGAAGCAGCCGCGCCCATTCTCAAACCAGACGTCACAGCCAGGTCGAGAGCAGCCGCACCATGAAGGCCCCAGTGCGGGACGTAGACATCCGCAGGGCGGCGTCCATTGCCGTGGCGGGCACCGTCCTCAGAAGCACCATGATGATCAAGCCGCGGTGGGAGCAAACCAGGCTTCTCGATTTCAGGGTGAAGACCAGCAGCGTTGGCCCACGTTGCGACCACGGTGCGGAGCCGGTTGTGTCGCTTTGTCCTGTCACCCCCACAAGGGCAAACCCGTGCATGATCTCCATAGGAGTCACACACTCCGTCGCAATAGGCGCAAGCAGTATCCCCCGGATGAACTTGCAGGCGGAGGCGCAAGCAGGCCATGATCCGGAACAAGACACTGTTCACATGCAGGCCCAGAGCAGCGCAAGGAAGGGGCGGCGTTTGGTGGCCAAATGCTTGTGCGCGCAGGTCAAGTCTGAGGCTCGGGGTTGGCTGCCCCCGTTGCAAGTCGGAGTGGCCGTGCCTTTAGGGGCAGAAGCAGCCATCCATTCTTCCCGGCATTGGGTTCACACCAACCGCCGCCATCCTGACAAGGTCTTCCTCAAGTTGGATTTTGTCAACGCCTTTAACACCGTGGACCGGGCAGCCCTGCTCCGTGAAGTGCGGCTCCGGGTGCCCGCCGCCGCTGCATGGGCCGAATGGTGCTACAGCCACCATTCCCAGCTTCTGTTTCAAGGAGACCACATAGCGTCAGAAGCCGGGGTACAACAAGGAGACCCTCTTGGGCCGTTGTTTTTTGCTTTGGCTCTGCAACCTGCCTTGCTTGCAGCGGGCCGCTCCCACCTCGACCTGTGCTTCGCCTACTTGGATGATGTTTGCTTGGCTGGGGACAGCTCCGTGGTCAGTGCCGCCCTCGGCCGGCTTGCCAACGCAGCTCGCCAGGTGGGGCTGCTCTTGAACGTTGCAAAGTGCGAGCTCACGTCCTTCAATGGTGGTAACACAAGCGTTGACCCAGGCCTTTTCCCGACAGGTTTGCCATTCAACACCACTGGCGAATTTGTCCTGCTGGGCGCAGCCATTGGGAGCCCCTCTTTTTGCCACCAGCACACAGTGCAACGGGCGGCCGGGACACAGCCCCTTTTGAATGCCTTAAGCCAGCTGCCAGATAGCCAAACTGCTTTGCTGCTCCTCCGGCACTGTGCTTCCTGGTCCAAATTGGTCTATTCAAGTCGGGTTACCCCTCCCCCTTTCCATGTGGACGGGTTGAAAACCTATGATCCTTCCGTCCTACAATGCCTGGAATGCTGCTGCACGGGGGCCTTGTCGCGAGGGGCTTGCTTGCAGGCCACTCTGTCTACAAAGTGTGGTGGGCTGGGCTTACGCAGCGTCTCTCGACACAGTGGAGCTGCTTACGCAGCTTCTGTCCTGGCCACGACCAGCGTCTGCTGCTCATTGTTCCCTGCCTACAACTCCAACTTGGACACAGTTCTCTCCAACCTCAACGAATCCCTGCTTGCCAGCGACCATGTTCCTTCCCCACCGCCGCCAACCCTTCGACAACAAGATTTGTCACGGGCAGTGGACAGGTTCACAGCCGCTGAGCTTGCTTCGGTTTGTTCCGGTCCCGGCCATGAAGCTTTCCGGGCGCATTTCCAACTCCTTCAAGAACCCGGAGCAGGTGCGTGGCTCCAAGCCCTTCCTTGTGCTGCTCTGGGCCTGCATGTGGACAGTGTCTTGTACCGGATCATGGCCCCCTTGCGCCTCCGCCTGCAAGTTCATCCGGGGGATACTGCTTGCGCCTATTGCGACGGAGTGTGTGACTCCTATGGAGATCATGCACGGGTTTGCCCTTGTGGGGGTGACAGGACAAAGCGACACAACCGGCTCCGCACCGTGGTCGCAACGTGGGCCAACGCTGCTGGTCTTCACCCTGAAATCGAGAAGCCTGGTTTGCTCCCACCGCGGCTTGATCATCATGGTGCTTCTGAGGACGGTGCCCGCCACGGCAATGGCCGCCCATTGTTTCTCAGCCCCGTGTTTTTGCCATGTTCCCCTTGTCACAATGGCTTTGCTGGACCACTTGCGCTTTTAAGCTGCGTGTCTAGCCCAGCTTTCAGGGGAGGCTTTTGTTCATGGGCCTTGTTTTGCGGTGTACAGCCTTTTGCGTGTCGAGGCTTTGAGGTTGCCCTCGCCATCGACCAATGGTCCTGTAAAGACAGGTGTGTTTGTACCAATTGGCCATCTCACTCACATGTTTGCACAATCACCATGTTGAATTCAATGTTTGCAGAAAATGCTAAGCCTGGATGGACAATGATGGAAAATGGATGAAGGGCCAAATGAGAGATTGCACGCATCATTTTAGCAAAGGGAGTGCTTCGTGAGAAGAAGAAAGGCAGCGAGTAGTGGAACAAACTAATCCAGAAGCAAAGAGGAACGGATTAATCTAAAGTTTAATATAAGTTAATACTACGATTGTCAAGCTTTAACAAGTTAGAAACAATCACAGTCAGTGGAGAAAGGCATTTCCCATTTGCGTATGCCAAGGCCAGTTGCCTGCAGCGCGCCGTGCACCTAATTACACGCTAGCCAGTCTCCATTTCGAGGTAAAGCTATCCCACTGGAAAAGGGTGGTGGCCCCCACCAGGGCAAAAAGCAAGGCCACTGTTCAGTGAGTCTTGCGCCCCATCCAACAGAAAAAGCAGGAAGATAAATCCAACATGTTGGTGTGTTAGGATATTCCTGCGGCACCCAGGCCATTCCTAACCCACAGCGCATTTTCACTTTTACTGACAACCGTTCAACCTTCATTTCTTTGGTTTCCACGGCTCCGCAGCAACTAGCCTAAATTTGTGTTCCATTCCACTGTCCTCCGAGTTCGTGTGTTGCCGAAGGTCACCGTCTCAAGCTCTGAACTTCCACTTTGCCTCCAGACTTTCTGGTTGTCGATTGTCCTTCCAAGAGCCTTGAGGCTTGGACTCTCACTCCAACCTGGAACCTTGTACCTGAAAACAAGGTCCAGGCTGGCTCTGTATGAACTGCAAACTCTCCGCGCCGATCGCCCCTGCGCAGCAGCAAGCTCCGGGCGTGCCACTTAGACTATGGCACTGGGGCTCCGAGTGGATCCTAGTACGATGCCAAGCTATCTCGAGCCCTATTGACACTGAAAGGAAACTCTCGAATAAGCAAATCAAGATCCAGGTCTCACTATGGGCTTGGCTGTCTACTACTCGCCCACCTGCTGTATTTCACCTACTTCAAAGCCCTAGATGTCCAGTGTCGTGCTAGTTCACAACTTCGCCTTCCCAAAAACCCGCTCCGAGCTCTCCAAACAGCCAGCTTTCCGTCTTGGCCACCCGATTGCTCTCCCCTCCACAGCCATAAACAGCTCTGGGGTACCGGGAGAGAGAAAAGATGTTGGCACATTGAATATGTTGAACTATGTTCAACAAAATAGAAAAGAACAATCAGCAAGCAGGACACTCTCAATTTGTTGCATTCCCAAGGTTTTCGTCCCATGGCCACACTTGCACAAGCAGATGTTGTTCATGTGAAAGCCATTGTCATATGAACAGCACAGAAGTGTGGCAATAGCACTTTCAAGCTACTGTTTGTGTTGTATCCCACGGTTGGCCCACTGTTTCCTCTTTGGCCATGCCATGCTACAAAATAGCCGCAAGGTTGCTGTGACTACACGATTCACACTGGAACCCTGCTTGAATCCCACATAAGAAGCTCAACTTCATGATCAGGGGAAAGTGGTGGAATTTGCTGTGCATGAACTTGCGTTTTAAGGTTTGAACATGTGGTGTTTGAAAACCACTGCTTGCACTGTATAGACCATGCCTCGTGGGCAAAGTATTGAGAGTAGAACGGCTGTATCGATTATATTTTGCACATTTCCCAATGTTTTCAAGAATTCATGCCAACAGTCTCCGGTGGTTTCTAACCAATTCTCTCAGGCAACCTTGATGATCCTTTCAAAAGTCACGCAGAGAGTGAAGGTCCTCATTGGACCATCGGCAGGGAGGCCTCACCGTCCTCGCCTGTGCGTACGCTGCGCGTAGGATGGATGCATTGTGAGGGTGTCCAACGTCATGAAGAGGTTGAATGCGGAGGATCTGAAGGTGCTGCTGCCCTGTGCAGGGACGCACGTGCGCTTGTGCCCTGCGTGAGAGCGCAGGGACGCATCTTGGGGGGTGTGGGGTGCCTCTATCAAAGGATGAACTCGAGGTGCTTCACCAATTTCACAGCATTTGGTTGGGCTCTAGTGTTTATTGATATGCACCGGATTTGTTTCTTTTTAGCGGGCACCAGTTGATCTTTAGATCAATCTTTGGCTGATAACAGGGTTCACTGGAGTAGCTGTTGGATGGATGGTAGGCTCCATGTTCTGATATTACTTGAAGGAGTGTATACAACATGGCAACACTACTCTTGCTTGTGATGGTATGTTCAAAAGCAAATGATGAAGCGGCACGCAAGAGAATCCCCAAAACATTTGTTATGTTCGCTTTCTCCAAAAGCGCTGGCGCAAACCGTTTGCGATCTCCGTGTTCAGAACCAACCGCTCTGGACGTGGACGTGGTGAGATGTTGACCTTTGCCGACCCTCCAAGAAGACTCAGATGTTCATATGTTGATGCATTTCTAAACAATTGTTGGTGGTTTGCTGGAGTTCTGGACGGGCAGCCTTTCTAAATCCATTCATTTCATATGTCTTTTCTTCGCGCACCATGGTCTAGCACCCCATGTGATGTGCCGGATCACCATGCAACGAAGGTAAGATCATCAATCATCGATCTATATATTCAAAGGTGACAGCATGAAACGGAATAGGCGATCCAAATGGTGACCATGCACGAACGTGCAAAGTAAGATATTTAGTCTTCAGAAATGGCACGAGTTTGGATATGGGGTTGCTATTATAGGGGTTGCTATTGTTCCTCCCGTTTGGGAGCACACAATCCCCCGTCTTGTCTTGTTTTAGGGCAAAATAAACACCCAAACCTGCGCTGTGCCACAGCTTGGATCGGCCCAGGGCAACTCAGTTCCCGGACGCCGAAAAACACCTCCCGGAGAAATGCTCCCTAAAAATGCCTTGGGTTGCCTGGACAATTGCATGGCAACCCCCAAAAAGCGGACGAGGTCATGCCTGGCCTGGTTTGTTTCGGAAAAAACGCGTGACCGATCCCAGTGCCCAGTGCCCGACGTGTGCATGTTTCACATTCAGGGGCTCTTTGAAGAGGTGGTGGGACCCGTGGAGAAGGTCCAGGCCCCTCGAAGAATGGCGGTGAGTCGTGGGGAACTGCACAGTAGTTTGCAGGCTATTCTCTTGATTTTCGGTCAAGCAATGTCCGGGTTTTGAGAAAACCGCCTGATGGAAGGTTTTGGAAAGGGAATTCCTTTTCTAGTTCCATCGTGCACCAAATAAAACGAGTGGATATGGCAAAAGAAACACCCCTGGGCGTCTGACAGGGTCTGGTTTTGAGAGAAACAATGGGTGTTTGTTATTTTCTTGGTGTTTCATCCCGCTACCAGTTTGTTTCATTTTCAGGTTCGTTCATTTCTTGAGAGGACTGCCCGGATAGATGATGCTGTTACTGCTATTGTTGGGTGTTCCTTTTTATGTGGATCATTTGTTACAGTAACATGTCTGTGTGTCTCTTGTGTTGGAAAATCATCACCTGTGACATGTCAAGAAAATAGGACCAGGTCCCCTGTTTGCCCAGGAAAGTGTAAATTGGAGACTCCATTTAAACTCATGTTACATGTTGGTCAACTCATGTTTAAGTTCCCCTGTTGGGCATCCCGTCGTCGAAAATCTCCGAAGTTTTCAAGTTCAAGTTCTGGAACAGAAGCTTCTGACCATTTCTGAGATTTTCCGAAGGGATGCATATTGGAAATCCAGCACCTTGGGAGGTGTTCCCGTGATAAAACCATTGGTTTGCATCTTTCAGGAAGGAACAATTGCTTGAAAACGACCCGAAGGTTTGAAGTGGGAATTTGGGTAGGGTTTATCTTCGGTGTATCCTCCCCTCGCTGGAAACATGTAGAAACGAGGGCTGATGGGGCAGCTTTCAAAGGATCCTGATGAGATCGAAACTCCAGAAGGCTTGGGAACATCTTCGAGATAGTCGTGAAGCGCTTCCAATTGCCTTTTCACGGCCTAACTAACTATAGACAAGGTCGGACAACGCGGTAGTTGAATCCCTGGCATATACTAGACACACTTTGAAGTGCAGATTTCGTGGCATGCGCAGCACTTGGTGAAAACCTTCCGAGGTTCAGCAATCTCATGCCTTGGTGACCTTTGCCAAGGAGGAAGACGCGCAGTGCCGACCTTGAACGGAGAACAGGGGTGTTTTGGGCATCGCATTCTCCAACAAACCTGATTTCTCATCTCGTCCTGTACAGCGGCACCTAGTCATGCACTCGTTTCAACTCCTCATTTCTACCCCAAATCAATCCACCATGAAACCCTTTGTCGTTGGTGTCTGGTCCGACGGGTCTCAGGCGAGGTCAGTAGAGACTCCCGCTTTCCGCGGCGCGGTTTCCGCCGGTTCGTCTGAGCGGAAGGCCAGGTCAGCCAGGTCGGGCTGCGACAGCCTTTGGAGACGAAACGAGGTGCATGTTTTTCAGGCTGTGAACCCCAAAACTTTGGGTGCAACTGTCAGGTGAAGACAGTGGAGCCGCGTGTTTGGTGAAGACAGTGGACTTGTCACATCTTGCTCGAACGACCACGCGTGTATCGAGTCTATCATTCGATACATTTCGATACCATAAAGGACCCTCAATCCACACAATGTACGTTGCTTGTTTTCTAAAGGCCGTTCGCATGTCCAAACGAATCTCCCGATCGCTCCACGGCGGATCGGCGAAGTCCATGAATTCGTCGAGTCGACTTCGAAAGGTGACAGTGATATCAGTGATATTCATTGCACTTGTTCCTAATAGCTTCTTGTTACTACGAGTAAGGCACTTGTTACTAGTAGCGTGGCACTTGTTTCTACTAGCTTCTTGTGACCAGTCTTGGCGGAAGTCACGATCACCTCTTGACCTGGGTCTCCCGAACCCACGTGACCGACCGAGGCGACTGATCGAGCGCTTTGACGGTGCGATCTTGGAGCTCCCCGAGCGCCCAGGTGCGCGTGAAAAGCTGCCCCCCTTCGCAGCGCGGTGATGGATCTTTTCTTGGAAGGGTATGCGGATCCCCCACAACTTCACCTTTGTTGGAAAGACTAGGTCACGACGATGACGATGTTGGGGCACACATACGATTTGGAAGAAGGCAGGGCACATGTATCGACAGACTATCCTGACGGCTTCGCCTGACATGTGCATTGACTCATTGTTCTGACATTTGTGCTGGCATCAAGTCTGTTTGTGTTCTGACACATCATTTGGCATCAAGGCTAAGAAAGGTTCTGGCATGTGTTCCGACAGTCTTTCTGGCATGTGTTCTGACACGTCAAGTCTGACACGTGTTCTGACATGTTTTTTGGCGGGCACGCACTTCTGACATGTGTTCGCGAATCAAACCTGGCATTATATTTTCTGAAGACCACTGTGGCGTATGGTCCTACTTTCGTGCTGATATGTGTTCTGACAGTTGTTGTGAGAATTCACAAGTGATGTCAATGTCACATATTCTGACATTTGCTTGCGCATCAAATCAGATCTGACAAATGTTCCAACATGTTGTTCTGATATGTGTTCTGGTGTGTTCTCCAGTTGTCCTGACATGTGTGCTGACATCATGTTCTTTGACATGTATCCTATGCTTCGGTATTTGCTTTGATATGTGTTCCAGCCAAGTCCAGGGCGCGATAGGAGGCGCCCGCACAAACCTTTTGGGACCTGGGTTTGCCCAAGTTCGCAGCCACCAATCCTGGGGGCCACGTACTGTACTGTATATCATATATCTATAGGTTTTGACCTGCACAGATCCAGGGCGCTCCACTTTGACATGATCCGAAATACCGCCGGGCACCATGCAGAAGGAACTCATGTTACTCATCCATGTTCCCCACCGTCATGAGCAACCAGTTCCCATCATGAACGATATCATAACACACATTGCGATTCCTGGCAGAAAAAAAGAACATTGAAAATCCGCACTTCCACACAAGTGTTGGAAGGAAAGGTAATAGTAACCAACCCAACAACCCAGCCCCCCCAGAAGAAAACAAAGGGCCCGACCATTTTTTTTACTGTTTTTCTCTTGCGTGCTTGCAGGAGCAAAAGCAAGGGCTTGGCCCTTGCAGCAAGGTATATTTGCACAATGTTTGGAAGAACATTTGGGGTGCTGGGCTGAGACGTGCCCGAAGATGCGAATTAGCAATTGTGAGTCAGGTGTCCGAAGATACGAAAAGCGTTTCAGTGTGAAGATAGTTGAAACTAACGAAGTCGGTTGAACTCTGCTGGAGAAGCAACTAAGGGAAGTTGTTGAACAGTTTATCAGAGTGGAACTCATATTGGAATGGTTGATCAGATCTGCACTTAACTTGAGTGTTCTGTGTTCTACAACATGCAAGTGATTTGAATCACTCGGATTGGGGAGAATTGGGGTCTCAACGGTTGTGTTTGGCAGGGCACCTAGATCCGGTAGATCCAAAGAGCACAATCGTATGTCCATGGAGTCCATATACTAGATGCACCGCGACACCTCAAAAAAATAAAATAAACAACACGGACTCCTAGACTCCCAGACTCCTCGAGTGACCTCCCTGAAGATATTTGAATGTGCATGTTGCGGCAACCAGCAAGACCTCCAAAAAGAGGCGGGTTTCCCGGTTTCGCCATGGGCGACCGTCTTGGGACAGTTGCAACGATTCAACAAGAACAAAATGTACAACTAGAAAAGACAGGTGGGACAGATTGAATGTCAGAAACACTCCACTGTTTGAAAACACACCAGTTTCTTCTATGTTCTTTTCAGTTGATTCAAATGTGAAAAGAAAAACTCTAGATCGGTGGGAGCGGCCGGAAGTTGTCGGGTTCCTTGTGGCACCCGTCCGAAGCTCGACGAGACCTTGCCCATCGGTCTAGCGAGATCTCGAGGGCGCCAAGCCGTGGGGAAGAATACACATTGGCCGTTGGGAAGAAAGAAACACATAAAGGAAATAAAGAAGTCGAAAGCATGAGAAAGTGAAAGCGGCCAGAATAAATCCTTAGACCAGAGAGTTTTTGGTGCTTAGGATTGGTTGAGGTTGCATTGTTTTGTGCTCGCCCGCGGTTGACAGCACTTGGTTAGAGGGTTGGCAAGATTAACTGTGCGATGGACGCGACAAATCCTTAGGACAAAAACGTGGAATCTTGCGCGGAGAATGAGGTACTGCATCCAGGTGGAAACGTACAGACTAAGACCTCAAAAGTCAAGTCAAGACCGCAAGTCTAGACTCAGTTCCAGTTTGTACTTGCGCTTGCATGTACAGACTGAGACCTTCCAGGTACTTTGAACATGTGTGAACGGTGAACGTCCATTAAAAAACACGTGCTGGCAACCTATACAAGCTCCCAGCTTGACCTGGCAACAGGTTCTTTCGATTTCTTTCGTTTCGGTCGCTGGGATATGCGGCTGACCTCGAGGAAAACAGCGGTCATGAACTCCTGAGTCACCCCGGTCGACTCGAGAGTGTCGAAAAGTCGCCTCCAACAGCCATCCTCGGCGACGACGGTCATCCCTTTGAAGCGACGATGGGATCCGTGACGGACCGGAGACTTCATCGACGGATGGTTCTGGATTCCAGCCATTCACTGCCTGTTACGTGAGCGCGGGGAATTGCTGAAGGGGTGTTATGCCCGTTCCGCTTTCCAGAACTTTCTTCCGAGTGTGTTTCCCTGCTTGCAGTAAAGGCATCCAAGAGAAGTTGAGTGACCTGATAGGACCCGTAACCTGTGCGGCATAGTTCCCCAACACGAAGTCGCGGTCTAGATCAGGGAGGTCTAGATCAGATAGTCAGAAAATTATGGTAGTGAAAATGTGTGAAAATATGTTGAAAAGTGTGACAATATGTTGAAACATGTGTTGTTTATGCGTGAAAATGTGTGATTTTATGTTTTTTGATAACCAAACAATGCGTGGCAGGCGATGCATGCTGAGATCATGAAAAAACAAGGAATGGATCAGGGAGGGTTAGATCATTAGATCTACCAAAACTTCACATCAGGAGCCTGTGGCTGATTGCAAAGTCTGAAGGATGGACACTAAAACCCAAGGATGCTTCCAAATGCGCTCAGTGTGTTCGTGTGTGTGGCCAGCATTTGGTTGGCATTGGATTGGGCCAATGAACTCATTTACTTGTCCTTCTTGCATACGACATTTAGAAGCTTGAAAATGTTGCTCAGCTATCACAGTCACATGAGTTCAGCGTTTGTAGGTTTCTTTGTCATATACTTGAACAATTCCACTGCAACTTGCTTCCATTTGAGAAGAGAGTGGACTGAGGGACTGAGTTTGATGTGCTGAGATGATGAGAGTGGACTGAGTTTGACGTGCATGGTGTCTAGTAAATGTTTCGGACCAAGCAAAAAGCATTGTTTGAAAGTCATAAGATTGGACAGAAATCCGCACATTTTTGCACATTCCCGGACATTCCGCACAATTTTGCACATTTTTGCACATGTTTGTATTAAACTCACAGAAATCTGCACATTGTTGCACATGTTCGCACATTTTTGCACATTGTAATGAACCAATATATATAGTAATTTATCAATATACAAACAATGCAAAAACATAATACTGAACCACATTTCCAGCATAAAAATAGTCTACAACTAATGTATGTGTTTGTACATTTTTGATTAGATTAGAAACCATCAATAGCCAGATTCCGTCTGAAGTGCAGCCATGTATTCATGTCCGTGGTATATGTGTCTATTAGTCTAAAAGTATGACACATATGACCATCCATGTTCATGTGTTTTTTGAAGATTTCAGCCACCTGATTTATGCATGTGTGATTCACTTTTCTTATTGTACAGAAGTTAGAAGTTTGTGTATTAGTATTCGTGGATGTGCCTATGAACAAAAAACCTTATTGATCTAAACCTCTCTGATCCAACCCTCGCTTTTGTTTTGATGAATAGTCTTCTGGTTAAACATATAGGATATCCAAGCCCAAGTGACCCATCTGGCACCACCAAGGCCCCTCGATTTGTGCCAGTTGCTTCGAGGGCCTGGATTCGTAACGATCTTCCAAAGCGCTGTCAAGCGTCAATTGAAGAAGGACGTGCCTTTTGGCTCGCGTGGTTCGGACGACACGGGGACGTTTCCACCACACAAACATCAAGGACCAGTCCAGACGTCCCAATAAGGTTTAAAAGGGTGCTTCAAAACAGTTCAATGGTTCCCGTGATGGAATTTACGGTGGCAAGAAACCAAAGAACATCAAAGGGCCAAAGAACCCAAATGTGTGGATCAATTCACTTGAGAAAGGTGTCGAAAGTTCGAGAGGCGAGTACTTCTCCCGCGGGGAAGGTGTTTCATGGTGAAACAGACTGGACTGAACATGCTAGTAGTAGCGTCCTTGCTCCTATTGGCGATGGCCTCCAACCTACTTGCCATGGCCTCCACCTGATAGCTTCCTTCTACGTTCGTAGCGTCCTTGCTACTTAAGAGTTTTGCTGAATAGAACTAAAGATACTAAAGTCCTAAGTTGTCTCTTTAGAACTCTTGTATCCATTGTCCTCGTGTTCGCCCGACCGTCGGGGGTGTTTTAGCGCCCTGGCCGCCCTTCGGGGGGGGGCTAGGGGGCTGGATCTATAGTGTGCGTGTGTGTGTGCATGTGATTGTTACTACTGGCGATGCCCTTTGCTACTAGTAGCTTCTTGTTCCTAGTAGCGATGCCAGGAGCCCCTATAGTAGCGTCCTTTGCTCCTAGTAGCGATGCCAGGAGCCCCTAGTAGCGTGCCTCTTAGTGTTTTCATTACGCCAGGACACCGGCTATCAAATTGACTTTAGAGGCAGTTTCATCAAGGCAGGATTGGAGCAGACGGATGGTGTCGTGTGGATGATGTTCATGTTTATTGTTTTTATGTTTATTGTTTTAGGGCTCGAGGAATACCCTTAGGGATAGCTTCTAGCCCCAAGACTCACAACGAGTCGATCTCTCTCGCTCCGCCATAGCTAGCCCCAGCTGGCATCCTCACCGAGAAAGAGATCCCTAAGTGGTCTGTAAGGTCAAAGCTGCATTGAGGTGTCTCGAGAGACACCATACAAAGCCCTACTATCTTTTCCCTCAGAAGATCTCCCAGGTATTGAGAATGCCATGAAAGAATGGCTGGAGGAAAGAAGACCAGAACGATTGGGCCTATGCCAGATACACCCAGAGCGCCTGGAAGAAACAAGAAGCGGCAAAAGAGATGAAGGAAACTATGCAGTCCTGGGACGGAAAAAGAGTTGTCCTAGGCTCAGGGGATACACCATCGCTCTCCTCATCATCGGGGCGTGATGTTTCAGCAGCACATGGTGGAGAAGATCTGAGCTACAAGGATATGGTCCGAAGACTCCTTGCAGGAGATGCGGACAGAGACCCGGAATTGCTGAGGCAAGCGAAGGCTTTGGTGGAGGAGACTCCACAAGAGGCCTTGCAGCGAGAACAGAAGGAGCTCAATCAGCGCCGCAGAGAACTAACTTACCAGGCAAGAGAAGCTCAGGAGCAAGTTGACCACTACGGAAGCCAAGTTCACCGACTGGAAGAGTCGTGCCCACCACACCATCAGGGTGGAGGAGACACGATATTCAGACGAGGTCAGACAACTTCGCCAGCAACTCAGTCAGGCCAAGAAGGAAGATGCTATGGAGTGCAATCGACAAATGTCATATTCAGAAGACTTGGGAGTCGAGGACATCCGACAAGCATTGCACCAGTAGGAGCGAGTGAATTTGATCCTGATGAGACAGAACAACCAGATCACTCAACAGTTGGCGCAGTTGACACAAGCTATATGAGCCAAATCGCACTCCCCACAGCAGCTACGCACCCAGGGATCGAGATGCCACAGGTGCCTCCAGGCTTGGCGATGACTACTGCTGCAGCAGAGTGTGTCGACTTAGCGACAGAGGACTCGCTCACCGAGAAGGAAATCCTAGACTTTGTCAAGTGGTTGCCGCAACCGGTGATCGATGGCATTTTGGCTGTAATCCAGAACAATCCTCAGCCGAATGTCACAGCAACTAGACTCAAATCTATCATCATGGAAGTCCAGGACAATCATCGTGTCAAGACGGCTGCTGCGATAGGAACAGCAGAGAGCTCTTTCGCCCATTTGGCAAAGCAATCACGCCAAAGCAGAAGCGAAGAAGAAGAAGAAGACACTCCGCAGAAAAACGCCACAAGGCAAGAATCACATGCTCGGCGACTTGGAGTGAGCAGCTATGTTGAGATCATCTGGGTAGATGGTCGTGAACAAGTCTATCCTCTGGAAACATCATTTAAAGCTGTGCCAGAGGGTAGCAATTTTGATAGTGAGAGAAGCAATACTCTTGGCGTAGGCAGACCATTTGTCAGTCTGCGGCACCGGGAGCTATAGTAGCGAGCACAGAACCTGGCATTGAGCTTGATCTTTCTGGCGCTAGCTTAGAAGCGACGATAGATGAGCATTGCCAGCATCCCTTTTTCTTGGATGAAGAGATCTACAACTGCAGCTCTCAGACAAGCAGTTGGTCTTCCATGGATCCCCAAGAATCACCGTTTTTGCCTCTGCCGTCTTGTGGGTGTCCTGCTGGACACTGGGTATACAAGCGACTTAGCTTTTTTCGAAGGTTTTCTTTAGATTCCCCACTCAAGCGAAGTCTAATGGGGGGAAGTTAATTCAGTGGGCATGCAATGTGACCATCCTCCACTTAGCGGCGTGGGCATTTTGGCAAGAAGAGAAGCAGTATAACATCGCCAACCGAGCAGGTTCGACTCCACACAGAGCAAGATACAGTGGTAATGGTGCAGAACTTCGCTCCCACTGTCTCCAATGAGCCGGTCCATGGTAGCGTTGTATTGCCCCCCATGCCACCTGGCGAAGGCGATTTATTGAAGCTGTATATTAAGCAAGCGGATCCCAGATGCGTGCAACAGACATTCATCGAGGTGGACACCTACCACCTGGAGGACGCCCAAGAGGTTGCTGATGAGCTACGACGCACTTGGTCTAATGTGTACCAACTGCCAGTCGCATACAAAGTCTTCCAGTTGGTGGACAACTCTGCAGGATTCTTGTGCCATGATAGAGTGATTTTGATCGATATTGTCCTTTTGGAACCACCTCAGACGAAACTAGTCTCTCTTCGACCAGGAGATGTGGTCTCCACTGTTTGGTTCAGCGCATGGGACTCCGCCTTGAAGAACCGGAGAAGGTGCTCTGTACTATCCAGAAGGGTGCTCAAGTTGAATCTCATGGGTGGCATGACTCATTGGATAATGTAAGATCAGCCTCGCATGGTACCATTGTGTATCACAAGTTGTGTTCGAAAGAAGAGCAGACTAGCAAGAAGCCTAGGTTGCCTAACAAGGACCGCGCACATACACATGATGCACAAGTTTTCACGCAGCTTCCATATCAAAGGGCACGAAAAGAATCAAAACAACTAGCAAACACCGACCCCAAACACCCATTCAACATCTTGAAACAATGCCAAACACAAATCACTGACAAGCTACAGGTTGGCTTGGCGCAGCTTGCGCAGCAGGTTTAACATCAGGTCGAACATCAAGATCAACGTCAGGTTGAACATCAGTCTTCTGGGCAACGGTGACATCATTGCCTTGCGGCTTCATGGAGGCTTGCTGAGCCACATCGACACAAGGCTTGTTGCCACTGCTCTCGTTTGGCCCGTTTTCCAAGGCCAGTAAAGGCGGCGATTGCTGTGGAGGCAGACTTGTGTTCGATGATGCCCTTGAAAGCAAATCTTCAAGAGGTGACGGCGCTCGAGGTAAGATGGTCACGGATGCTTCTGGGCGTCGGATCTGGCCCATTGAAATAGGCTATTTTTATGCTTGAAAAATAGTCTTAAAAATTGTCTAAAGAATAGGATGTCGGTTTAGATATTAGTTAGGATATAAGATATCAAATTTGATATAGATATTAGTTAGGAAACAGTCTAACCTTGGCTTAAGGGTGAGCCATGGCCATCATGGCCTGAGTCATCATGTCTGGGTGATGGTCACCATATCTCGTAGCAAACTGAGGAGTCGCACTCCTATTGGTCGACCTCATAGGCACTTGCGAGGCCAACTGCTGCAAGCTTACCAAGTTCCACCGTGGCTGAACCACAGCCTTGCCATTGAAGGGGATTTTGTTAGAGAGGCCATACGGTGCCGGCTAGAGTTATTTTCCGACTGCTGCAAGTGGACCACTACTGTCGAGAGGGAATAAAATGCCTAGCGACCGCGCAACTTCCGGTACGGCAGCCGATGACGAACCAACGCAGGCACCGACGCCAACAGCGGCTATGATTCGCTTGACAGCTTGCAAAAGCCGCAGCAGAAGGAGCTTAGTAGCTGTGTTTTGGAATCCCGAGCCGAAGGCACAGCAGATACTGCCACAGAACAGACAGTTCCTCGGCCGAAGGTACCCAGAATAACACTCGATAGCAGCAGTCTGCAAAGGGATTGTTGGCATCTTGAGCAAAGATAGCTCTGTAGAGAACGGCACTTGGCGCACCAGCAAGCTAAAGGAGTACCCCGATGCGTTGTGTAGCTACATCGCACGGTTGTTTTGGCGTTGGCTGGAAGCCCAAGAAGGCCACGAGACCAAAGGTTTCGAAGAAGCTGCGGAGTGGCTTCGTGACCTAGTGGTCCAAGAGGATGAGAGGATCACCACCTTTGGTCCTGATTTTGCATCTTAATTCATTCAATTGGCAGCAAGGCGCTGCGCCGAAGGCACTGTGCGCATCGAAAGAGTCGAAAGAGTTCATTGTTATTTTTTCTGAAGATCATCTGTGGAATCCCCGCTCCAGAAGCGATAGGGCTGGGTGTTAAAAAACCGACGCATTTTGGGTAGCATGGACCTGGTATATTCGCACCTAACAAGGTGTGGTAGTGATTCTGTAAAGAACTGTTGTATGTCGATAGAAGCTATGGCGCCACCTTTTTTGTATCGTTGGTGCAGCAACTTGAAACAAACAATATTTTATTATCATCGCTAACCTAATAGCGACGGCCTCCACGGGCTCCACCTTTTCTTGCTACTATATAGTAGTAATGGCCCATGGCCTCCAACCTAATAGCGGTGGCCTCCCCTAGTATAGCGTCCTTGTTATACTATCGGTATTAATTCTAGAACCGAGTTTGATGCTGTGAAGATCGCTACCGGTATTATCTATTTTGGTTTGTGTGTGTCTCAAAATGTCTCAAAGCAAAAGTTGTTCCAAAGGCCCGCGGAAAAACATATACGATCGAAGGACTTGACCCGGATTTGAGATTTCAGCTGTCACCCTCTTGGTTGGGAGCAAAGACAAGCCTTTGTCAACCCACCCCCGTTGTGGCCAGGTACGTCGCGCTTGCGCGGAAAATCGCCTATGATCTCAGCCCGGACAGGCCACACAGGGAATTCATGGGTGTTTTTGTTGACAAACTAGAAAGCGCTTAGTCCTTTACATATATCATATGTGTTTGTTCTTTGTGTTTCAGGGATATTCTCGCACAACGATGCTGAACAAAATCCGGGCATTCGGGCGTCCTCCCTGCCGGGTGAAGCCGCGCCAGAACTCATCAGCAGTGCTTGGCCTTTGCCCGGTTTTACTTCAACGTTACGGGAGTTCCCAGTCCAATGACGGCGCTTTCGACCGTGGGGCAGGTGACGTGAGGCACATGCGAGGCACTCGCGTCCGCTCCAAAGCGCAGATCAGGTGTCAACTTCATGGCCTTCTACTGAGGTGTTTGATGGTTTGCAAGATTTTTGGCAGTAGCTGGATGTATGTGAATGCATGCTCCAGGTTGAAAACATGCAGACTCAGCATTGCTGAGCTGACTTCGACTCAAGTCACGTGCCACATAGTAGCGACGCTTGGAAGATATTTGTCAGACAGGTTCAATTCCCAAGCGTCAAGTGCTCCGTGCAGACCCCTTTTCCATCCGTTTCCCCCCGCCTGCCTCCCAAAAAGATGGTGCATGGATTCGTCCCTTCGTGTAGAGTTGGTCTTTCTAGGTCAGTGATCGAGGTCAAACTGGGAATGACCAAAGACGGGGGCGCCTCGAATGTTTTGCTCCACAGATGGAGCTGGCCTAGACCTACCCAAGACCTGCAAAACCGGTGTGGATTGGTGAAAAGTCCACTTTAAAGTCCAGGTGAACAGTTCGTGAATCAGCCTTTTTGACCCCACACTACACTCTCCGGCCGGGACCAGCTAAAAAGGACTCCAACCTTCAACCTACTAGCGCAAGGAATCTAATAGCGATGGCCTGAACCCTAGTAGCGATGGCCTCCACTATAGCGATGGACTCCAAACTACT